TCGGGCGCGTTTTCTTTCAGGATCATCATTCGCCGACGGAGAGGAAAAGTTAAATACTATAGCATTTTATTTTATGAAAATTAGATAAAGAAGTTTTCGCACTGAAAGAGAACTGATCTCGTGCTCATAGAACTTAAGACGTGCCAGGCTATATCTGCAGCTAATCTGAATAAAAAGCAGAATGAACTGAAACGTTAAGACAATAAACACAATAAATAAATAAATGTTATGAATGATGCAGTGCTAATTGACATATAATTTATTACAGTACAGAAACTATAAAGTATTTTTTTTACCTAATTCTGTGCAGAAAATTTAAATAATTGTTTGTAGTATATGAAACAATCATAAAATTGCCATTATGAAAAAATTATAGATTACAAATGATTGATTATTGTCCAGCAGTGTATTTGATTTCTTATAACAAATTCAAAGTAAGAGATAAGAAAACAATTTATTGTTTAAAAAAATAAAATAATAATAATACTACATACATACATAAAATTAACGCTTAACGTGAAAAACGCTTAACATGGCTTAACGTGGCTTAACGTACCTAAACACCGACAGGGAAACCCAAATTTCTGTCAAACCTTACTTGTAATAAACACTAACTACTGTCAAAATAACAAGCTCTTCTTATTCAGCGTATAACGTGAATATCACGTTAGTCCAGCAGTGTATTTGATTTCTTATAGTAAATTCTAAGTAAAAAAAATAAATAATAATAATACATACATACATACATACATACATAAAATGATTGTATTTGACATTTCTGTCACTTCTGAAATGATAGCTACGCCCTGGGTGTGACACTAATTCTGAATCAAATCGAATTGAATCGTTCTGAATTTGCAAAAATCTTTCTTGAATCGAATCGAAAACCTATGAATCGTGAATCGAATCGATTTGCTGTCTACCCAAAGATTCACAGCCCTAATGACTACTATAGGCCACTTTTGAATAAATGTCAAAATGACTCAAAAATGAAGCTTGCTCATTCACTAAATTTTTTAAAGAAATTAATACTTTTATTCAGCAAGAATGCAACAGTAAAGCTATGTATACTATTACAAACGATTTATATATTTCAAATAAACACTGTTCTACTGAAAAAAAATGGATCATGGTTTCCACAAAAATATCAATGTTGAAAACCGTTGTGCTGCATAATAATAATACGAAATGTTTCTTGAGCAGCAAATAAGCATATTAGAATGATTTCTGAAGGATCATGTGACTCTGAAGACTGAAGTAAATTACATTTTAAAATACATTAAAATAGAAAACAGCTATTTTAAATTGTAACAATAATATTTCACATTTACTGTATTTTTTTATCTAAATACATACTACTTAGGATCAATTATTTAGAGCTCCGTAAAGGTGACATATCATGAAAATCTGACTTTTCCAGGTTTTAAGTGCTATAATCAGGTCCCCGGTGCATGTACCAACCAAGGAAACGTGAAAAAGATTAACACAGTAACTTTGTTTTGTTAAGCCTTTTTCTGCAAGCGTCTGAAAAAACGAATGCGTCTGATTTCGCTCCCCTAGTGACGTGGCAAAGGGATCTCATTATAATATTACCGCCCCTTAATCTATAAGTTTCCACCCACGGTGCAGTCATTGTGTTTTCGCAAGCGACAACGGTGTACCAGCTCTGCCATGGCGAAAGTTTGAGCAAAACACGCTAACTGTTCTGTCTTTGGCCGCACAGACCAGTAGATCTAAAATAAATATGCAATTTATTTCCCAGCTGTTTACCTTCACAGAAATAACCGACTGTTTTTGTAACTCGTGTGTGTTTTTAACGTAAACTTGGGTGTGAATGAGAACTTAGTTTATAAAAAGAACCATTAACATAATAAAAAAGAGACTGGAGTCATTAAGTGGAATCATAATCATAACTAGAACCGTTAAATTCCTTACAATTCCCAACCCTACCCATCCTCAATCCCATGATGCCTTAAAGATCAGGAGAGTGTAACATCTCCTGTGTCAGGATCCTTGAAGTTATAATTCATCTAGTCAGCGTGTGCACAGTGCTGCGTACCACAAACCTCCTCAGCATCTGTTCACTTAAACCTCCACAGTGGACAAGAAAATGACGCAGAGCCACAAGACTCGTGCAGAATGTTTAACATCCACTTCCACTCTGTCCACGCCCTTTGGCAGACTTTAGTTTCCCAAACAATGAAAGAAAAACATGTTTGATTTCTGGTATCTAGAAGGTGAGTGCCCAAGGACTGTTTGTTTAGTTATCCAGCACTTGGTTTAATTTATGTTTTATTGACACAAATCAATATGTAGTAAAAAGCAGAGCAGCATGCAGAGTGTGAGATAAGAGAGAACACCTGGAAAACACACAGAGCATTATGCTGTAAACTACGCAAGTGTGAAAGGTAATTCTACAAAACTGTCGTGGTGGGATGACTTTTACAAATATAAAAGGCCTAAACTGCACTGAATTATAGTGAGTTGAATAGATTCTATTAATTTTTTATTAAAGGGGTGTCATAGAATCAGTGGTGGAAAGAGTACTGAAAAAATATACTCAAGTAAAAGTACCATTACCTTCCAAAAAATGTAGTGAGAGTAGAGTAAAAGTACTTGTCCAAAAAAACTACTTGAGTAAGAGTAAAAAAGTAGCCTATTTAAAAGTACTCATGAGTATTGAGTAGTGAGTACTGAGCTGTGGATTCTACCCCCTCATAATAAATGCTGTACACCGCAATTGATACCTTTTAAAAACGTTGTACACTCTGTAATTCACATTATCTTGTTTGTCATAAAGAATGAAGAATATCTTTCATCCAAAAGTAAAAGTAAAAGTACAAAAAAAAAAAAAAGTACACAACTACTCAAAAAGTACAATTACTGATAAAAACTACTTAATTACTGTAACGTGAGTATTTGTAATTGTAGCTAACATGTCCCTTTAGTGGCTCGCGTTATTTTATTAAAACGCGTTATTTGTTTTCCGTGCCTTTCTGAATACAGACACCAACCCATCCCTGCACATCACATCCCCTGCACAGCCTGGAACATAACATTTATTTCCATGATCTGCCATATTCGCTATTATCCTCGCTTGTTTCTTCACAAAACCTGCAGAACTTCTGATGATTCGACTGTGCAGGTTTGGCTGGCGGCTGGCATAGAACATGGGCAGGTATATGCAAATGTTGGGGGCGTAACTATTAGTGATCCCGAC